GGCGATTCAAGTGGGGAGGGTTTCTCCGGATGATCTAGTTTATGCTTACTACGTAAATAGTAAAGAGAAAGTATTGTGTTCGCCGCCATGAAGTATCTAAAAATGTAAGGGCCGTAGCGGCTTCGGCTCGAAAGGTCGTGGGATCGAATCTCGCCTCGGGCATGGATGTGTGTGTGCTCGTGTTGTCCGTATCTTCGGACACCAGTGAACGAATCCCGGGCGATTCAAGTGGGGAGGATGTCTCCGGATGATCTAGTTTATGCTTACTACGTAAATAGTAAAGGGAAAGTATTGTGTTCGCCGCCATGAAGTATCTAAAGATGTAAGGGCCGTAGCGGCTTCGGCTCGAAGGGTTGTGGGTTCGAATCCCGCCTCGGGCATGGATGTGTGTGTGCTCGTGTTGCCCGTATGTGTCGTGTTCCCCCTGCAGTTATCCCAATATAAACAATCATAGTGGTAGCTACAAACAATTAATTTGGTGGCAACTTGTCACATCGATAAATTGCTTCTGATAAATCATTCCATTTTATGTTCTGCAATTTAGGAACTACCCTCATACCTACACCTCAGGCTTGACATGGTGAATACACGTTGAACTGACTGATGAATAGACCTTGACGAAGACTCGGACCGATGATTCTAAAGAGGTCTTAGTGCCTTTCATTTCAAAATTTTTATTTCTTAGAGTGACTTAGTAACATCAAAGTTATCGCTATGTAAACAAACTTATTGTCGTAAAAAAACTAATACGTATAGTTATTTGTGCTTCAAGGGCGTTATGATCGACCGACGACAAAAAACCCAAGGGCCATTGGCCTGAGTGTATTTTTTAATCGGAGATCATTAGAACCAGTTAATGCCCTTGGTGCAAACAAGATTTTATATAATGATTCAGATTTATTTATTTACTAATTAACGAGATGGTAACTTAACTCGGATTGTCTTTACATATTTCCCTCATATAATTCCCTTTTAATTATTCTCTCCATTTAACTGTTTTTATATTTCCTTCGTACCCACGATCATCTCGATCCAGATAAGTTATGCAGGTTATGTAGAGCTCCTTACTGAAGGCAGTAACATGCAGTAGCGAATCAGTAAAGATTAAAACATGTAATCGTATAACAATGACGTTTCTTTCTTTTTGTTTTTTAATGAATGTATTATTTAAATTTAAGTTTCAAGAAAAACAGAAAAGTCATATCGTGAACGTGAAAGATGTAGAATTCAACAATTTAAAGCTGGCAGCAACTAAACAATAAAACACTACAAAACTTCAAAGAAAATATTATTTTAATTTCGTCCCTTGTTCCTTTTAGACTCCTTTTTAAAACAGTAGAATTTTTAAAATGTGTTCTCAGTACTAGCCTAAAGATAGTAGCACTCGCAGCACTGAGGTTCGTATGTCGAGGAAGATTGTTTTCGAAGAAACTTTCAGAGGTCGATAAAAATACAAATGTTTCTGTGAACTTTGTCATTCTTAAAAATATGAAATAATGGAATCGCTCTTATTTTTATTATTTTCTATTAAAAGGAAGGAAAATATCATTTTTACCTTTAAAATAATTTTGATTCATATAATTTTAATTATCTTCTTTTATACTTAGATAAGTGTGTAAATTTTCACATTTTGTTGTCGCCGAAAACACAGAGAATCGTGCTGTGCAGATGGGCTTCGAGGTGCGATTTGGAAAGGTTAAGGAGAGGTAGAAGAGCTTATCGCCATGTTCGCGCCAATATTGTCACTTTATACCTTTGGAGAAAAAATTAATGCTTTTCAATAGTTTGTATAAATTGGTACCGCCGCGCGAACTATTTTTAATTTAATTTGTTTTCAAGAATGGCACAGAAAAGCAATCAATTAATTATTTCATTCGAGATAAGAACTCTAAAGAAATTGTACAGAGGAAAATGTCTTATAAGGTTTCGAGAAGGGTTCGTTTATACGTAATGTGCTTTGCTTGGGCTCAAGATAATTTGGAAGAATTGTTTCCTTAAGGCTAAATGTACCGAAAAATACTCAATTCAATAAGAAAATTCAATAGATCGCAGCACTATCACAGGGGAATTTACTTTACTGATAACGTCTGAACCAATGGTCCGATTTTCGATTTGTAGACGGCATTTAACGCCTTTTTTTAAATAGAATTTACGCTACGATGACCTTTTTCCACAAATCTAGCAAAAACGCGAATTTGAAATTAGTTCTAAAACTTCCGAGAACAAATTTAAAAATATGGCCTTATAACGCGATGGTGACATGCTTCCTGAATCCAACGCCGTGACAATCATGCAAATCGGACGAGTAGGAGCGTCGTAAAGTGAAATTTACGAAAACACCTCCCCCCCCTTTCACCTTCTGCGCCGTTGCGTCACCCACCCGCCCGTTGTGGGCCCTCTGTCAGCGCGATGGCACAGCCAGGACCGGCGTCGTGCGGCCAGCCCCGACGGAGCAGGCGGGACTTGCGGGACACGCAAGCCACACAGTCGGTTTATGCGTTCGTC